TTTTTGAGAAATAATTATTTTATTGATATGGGATATTTATAGCTTAGGCATGAGCCGAAAAAAATTGATAAAAAACGTTACATGTTTTTTTTTTAAAGGGATAGTCAATCGGGAAAAATTGTTGATTCAATTATTATTGAAGTTTTTTGTCGTTTGATTATAAAAATGGAAAATTAACGTTTTGCAGAACTGGTAATTTTCATTGGAGTCGTTGATTTGTTAATTTGAATTTGAATAAATGATAGATATAAAAAATTATTGATCACAGACTGGCGTATTGAACGCGATGGCATTAGTCACGACGAATTAACAATTTATCAGTAATAACCATCGATATCGCGCTCTAATTACGTGACATACGGCTACTCATGATCCGATGTAGTTGGTCTCAAAGTCCTCAACCCAATAAATAACGATTCATTTATTTATTCATGTATGAATGTCGGGAAAATGTGGGGAGTATTAAAATTCTCTTGACAATATTTATTTTTTAATCGTTGAATTTATGATAAATGAGCGGCTGATTATTCTGCCTTTCTCGTATCGAGGGATTTGTGAAAACGCCGGTGAAAGCTTGCCTTTTATGTCAAAGAGAGGAATAAATTGCGTTCTCCATGTGAGACGAGCCCCTCGGGAACTCGTGTTTCAAACCCACGTCTTTGCGACATTTTGCTAAAGTGCTTTTAAATGTTTAAGTCTTCAAACTCACCGGTAATATCTCATTTTTTCGCTTCAACAAATTTTCATCGGTCCTCTCGACTTTATAAAAAATCTACTCGACAACCGAACCGTTAATACAAAACGAAAAAAAAAAATCCATCATCAAATGACAGTTAATTAAAAAATTTATTGAATAATCAGCTGATTGTTTCCATTGAATTTATTTATTCTGGAAATTCAGGGAGAAATTTGTGATTTTTTGGAGATAATTTTGGGAGACAATTTTTGGAGACAATTGATTATTTATTTATTTGATGGATTTATTATTTCAATTGATTCCTCTCGGTTTCAGTTGTCATGGTGTCACGGGGTGATACAAATGTGTTAAGAATTTTATTTGAAGGCGTATCAGGGCGACTCTGAGTCATTTCTTATTTTAGATCCGTGAATTAAGGGCCACCAGTGGCGCAGAAATTCTCTCCCTCATTTAAACATGACAATTAAACTGCATGATGCATTCTGAAACTAAAACTCTCACTAAATATTTTTCATCTCAAAAAAGAGACTCCCCCATTGAATGATGAATTATCACAATTATTTAATAATAAATTTGAGAGGTCGTATGTAGATTTATTTATTTATAAAGGGCCTGGAGGGCTCTGGGATCTTGGGCCTAGGGCGTTCTCGAAATTCGATTTATATTTTTCATCTTTTCACCCTCTGTCCCTTAACCGAGGGGTGCCATAACAAATTGACGAGGAATTCATGCGAAATTCACAAGTATTTTCTCTTTTGACGAGACTTTTTCAATTCATCCCCAAGTTTTCTCTCCCTTGTTGACAAAACTACTGCCACGTGCCCCTTGTGGACAAATCCACTCGTGTTTTTTTTCGGATTTCTCGGGGACAATGGGAATTAAATAAAAATAAAGGAACTATAAAGTCAGTGTTTAGTGTTGATTACCCCTTTTCTGGGTTCAGTCCATCATAATTCTATTATTGATTAATTAATGCGTGCAATAATTAATTTATTAGTCTGAATTCCTTGAATTTCTGGCAATTGATTTCTTTTAGTGACAAGTTTTTAAGCGATATCTCGGAATCGAGAGGCGATACCGATATTTTGGTCGATACCTTTTTTGTTGCTCTCATCTTTTTCTATGGAAAAGGTTATCATAAAAAAATCGATATGCCCCTTCGATTTCGAGATATGGAGGAAAAATCGGTCTTGAAAAAAATGAACTTATTTTATTGTTCATCAATTAGCAACAAAATTATTGTTAGTCACTCGATTAATGAAAAATAATCAAAGTAAAATAATGACTGGACTATTTTTATGTCTTCACTCTCGGATTTTCTGTCTCGGTTTAATGGTCCTGGGTTTCTTCTTGTGGTTGTTTTAGCACTTATGGGTTTCTTTACCCCAAGCCATGAGGCAATGTGGACTCACAAGAGTCGATTCAGGGAACCAAATGTCTCTCTCAAAACCGGATACGATGGGAAACAAATTTCAAACATTCACTTTAAATTCCCGCGGCATTTGTTGAAATTCATTCGATATTTTTCATTTTAATTAACAATTGGCGTCACGCCCGTACGTCTCGACCCACATCCGTCGATAAATCGACCGTTGGCGACGGATCGTAGACCTCAATATTCCGTTACACAACCTCTCCATTTTATGTACTTCATTTTTTAATACATAAATGGTTTATTTAACGTCGGTGGATATCCAGAAATAGAAATTCTTTAAAATATCGCGGCCGTTGGCCAGAGCCATGTGTTTAAACCGAGAATAACAACCACTGGTACAAAACTACATTACATGGTGCATTTGAAAAATAATTTACGAGTAATGAGGGCTCAATTACGATGTACAGTTTAAAAAATTGAGGCGATGGAGTTTCTATTGACGGAATTGCCACTAGGAATTCCGTGAATTTCGTTTTAGGAGAGGTTTTGTTGCCGATTTTTTTCGGGGTAATTGATGGAATTTATTCTACAGCACTCGAGAATTTTATCAGCTCCTTGAGTTTTTAGTTTATTACATGAAGAATTTCCATTGGCGCGTGCTCCGTTGGTTATGAAAAACGGATATTGTGGATTTAACACGTGTTTCTCATCCCCAATGGCAGCGTCTGGATCGGGTTTCCGGTGGTTTCACTTTAAATGTTTGAGATCGCGATGAAAAGGTTGTTTATACAGAAGTCCTTCTGCCTCGAAATTTTAGAATTGCGGAATTCCCTCTGGTTGACAGCTGCCAGTTATAAATAGATCTCAAGAATAGAAGGGAATTGTTAAGAAATTAATTGAATTATCATTTATCGATTATCCAAGAAGAATTTTTCCATTGTTATGTCATTTCACCTGAGAGAATTCCCTGGAATTTCCGGGGAATTTTGACATCAAAAATTGAATTAGTGAAATAAAATTGACGGGAATTGATTCCAATTGAAGGATGAGATATTCTTCAATTATTATTCCAATTTTTCTATTGCAAATTAAATTGATTAAATAAAATTGATTGAAATTAATTGCAATTTCCACAATGAATTGATCAACTCAAGGAAAAAAATTCTACGATCAATATTTCATCCCAGCTGAGAGAAGTCCCTGGAATTCCCGGGGAATTTTGCCATCGAAAATTGAATTAATGAAATAGAATTAATGGGAATTAATTCCAATTTGTTGAATTAAATTATCAATTGTTATTCGAATTTTCCCATCGAAAATTGAATAAATGAAATAAAATTGATTGAAATTAATTTCAATTTCCACAATGAATTGATCAATTCGGGGAAAACAATTCTCCGGTCAATATTTCATTGCTGAGAGAAGTTATCCGACACCCTGAGAGAATTCCCTGAAATTCCAGAGAAATTTCCAAATACAAAAACGCATTTTGAGGGTCTAAAAATTGAAATTAATACGAAAATAAATGGTTATCACATTGAAATTGATATGAATTAAATCCAGATCCCCGAAATATTATCCCATCAATCTCACGACCATCATCTCCCCTCAACCACATGCCAAGATGGTCTCAGTATCCGGTACATGTGTGTGTAATTCCCCTTTGAAAATTCACCCCCGCACTCGACATCTGTTTCCCCCAATTCCCAACAGAAAAATTTATGAAGAATTATTTTCCCGAGTAACGAGACGGCTGCAATGCAACCATTATTATATCGAGAATTATCCTGTTCCCCTTCCTAACTAATTCAAATCCTATCCAACAACTCCTCTGACATCACAAAAATGGGAAACACTAAAAATTTCACTCTTCTATGTAAAAAAGGACGGCGGTGCTTGATATATATAGGAAAAGCGAAATAAAAAAATTGTTAGAAGCCGGATAGGTCAGTTGGGAGAACACCCGATTAATAATCGGAAGGTTCCGTGTTCAAATCGCGGTCTGGATTTTTTTTCAATAATTTTTTTTTGAAAAAATTATATTGAGAATTATTCTATTTTCCTTCCTGCCTAATCTCAATCCTATTTTTTCTAATAATATTTTTTTGTACAAAGTATATCGAGAATTATCCTGTTTCCTTCCTACCTAATTCCAATCCTATTTTTTTTTTGTAATTTTTTTTTGTAAAAATTATATCGAGAATTATTCTGTTCCCCTTCCTGCCTAATCCCAATCCTATCCGACGATTTCTCTGACGTAAGGAAAATGTGGAATGTAATATATATAAGAAAAGTGAAATATATAAATGGATAGAAGTCGGATAGGTCAGTTGGAAGACCACCCGATTCATAATCGGAAGGTTCCGGGTTCGAAACCCGGTCTGGATTTTTTTTCAATAATTTTTTTTCAATAATTTTTTTTGTAAAAATTACATCGAGAATTATCCTGTTTCCCCTTCCTACCTAATCCCAATCCCGTCCAACGACTCCTCTGAAGTGAAACCATTTTTTTTCCATTTTTTTTTCATTTTTCCAGTAATAATAATCCCCAGGGGTGTAGAGACAATTATTACTCCGCCTCTCGCAAAAGTGCCACTCCCTTCGGGCGGAGAGGACGTCGAGGGTGTCGGATAACTTGAAGAGCTTCATACCTCTCTCGGTTTACGAGGGTTGAAAAATAAAAATGGGGAAAATGTGTGCGAACGGGAGACAAAGGGATTCGATTTTACCCCAGGGGGTGGAACGAAGAGGGGGGGAATTTCGACCATCTGCTGGTGATTTTCACGGTCAATTGAGTCATCCAGGGTGGCATGACCTCGGTCAATTGGTCCAGCACGTGGTGATTCCCCGATTGAATTGATCCAAATTGCCTAGAGCAATTATCAATTCCGGTTGAATAAACAATGTTGTTTAATTTTTTGTCTACAGATATTGCGATGGACTGGTCTGATCATGCACTCTGGTGGTCTGAGCGTAATTCATGGCTGACTCGTACCCGAAGTACTCTAGATCAGTATGGAGTTGCTGCTGATGCTTTGTTGCACTTCACACCGATGCACAAAACCCTGAGAGTTCAGCTGCCGGATATGCGGTGTCTTGACTGTCGCGTTGATTTTTCAGTGAAAACATTCAATGCTGTTATCAATCTGTGCAAGGAGCTTGGTAATTATTTTAAATAAAATATACAGTCAGTAATTATGATCACGCGAAGGTCTTGTGGGTGACGTTGCAATTGGGTTAACGAGGGATAACAATCGAGTCATTGTTTTGATGACAGATGTTAATTACTCACGGGAGAGAATAAATAATAATCACCAGGGAATTGTCCCCAATTCTCCAGAATAATTTCATTGAATTCAACATAATTTTTGGAGATTAAATTTTTTTTTTTATTTGATTTTGATTTGGAATTTTGAATTGATTGAAGGGATCAGACATCCTGAGGAGCTGTCGTTCTGCAAACCTCTGGAGCTGAGTGATCTCAAGTGCAATTTGAAGGATCGAGTTGCCAAGAAGAAGATTGAGAATCAGAAAAATGGCCACTGGACTGTTCCAGCGGATACCAATACGTTCATTCCGGTTTCCCAGAGTCCCAAGGGCTCCACTGGAAGTCTCGACCAGAGCAGTCCCTTCATGTGTGCACCAGTGACACCCAACAACAGAAATCACAGCACTCCGATAAGTTCTCCAGTGACAGTAAGTGTTTTCTGAAGATATTCCAGTGATTCGCTATTTATTTAGTTCTATTAAAAAAAATCCCACTGGAATTCCCTCTGGTGTGGAATGGTAATTACATTAAAGAGTTATTAAATTAATTGTTTAAACAAATTATTAACAGCACACAGGGACATGGAAACGCAACAACAATTCATCGGGTTTTGGTAGTACTGGCTCATTCAACGCAAACAACAGTACAATGTCACTGGAGGCATTGAACGGTGGATTGTCTGAGTCGTTGGCTCAGAGTCCCGCCTCGGTGTCACCGGACATTCGATCAAAATTAATCCGCCCAAAGAGCCTCATTGAGCGTGCCAGGATGAATGTCGCTTGGCTAGACTCATCCCTCTCCATCATGGAGCAGGGCATTCGTGAATTCGACACACTACGGCTCAAGTTCAAGTTCTACTCGTTCTACGATCTTAATCCTAAAACCGATTCTGTGAGGATAAACATGATTTATGAGCAGGCCAAGTGGCAGCTCCTCGCCGAGGAAATCGACTGCACCGAGGAGGAGATGCTAATGTTCGCTGCACTTCAGGTATTTTTATCCTTTTTTAATCCATAATAATTTAAAAATTACTACTAAATTATCTACAATAATTTATCCTCTTTGATTTTATTAATCGAAATTCGATTTGAAATTTATCTGGATTTTATTAATCGCAGAATAATTAATAATAATTTCACTGAGGGGTGAGATTTTGTATTGTTTGAGTGAAAAAAATTATTCTGGGATTTATAAAATGTTGAGAATAAAGGAATCGGTCTGGTAGATTAGCGTGGGCGAGTCTGAATCCCCGATAGTCGAATCGATAACTCGAAAACGGTTAATTCTCCTCGTGAAAATAATCAGCGTACCATACCAAAATTGGTATGGCAAATGCCACCTTCACGTCTCCCACGTGCCAGTCGTCTCGACCCACGTCGATGACCCGTGTTTTCGTTACACACCTACGTCCATCTGGGGGATCGATAAAACCGTCTCGATACGTTGAAACAATGTGAAATGGAGCGGATAAAACATCCCTAGACCTAAAAGCGCCGTCTCCTTGACTGTGAAAAAATTTTTATAATTTCAGGTTCAGGTGAATCTGCAGGCAAGTGTACCCCAGCCGAGTTACGAGACAAATGGCACGTCATCACCAGCGGAGGACGATATCGACGCAGCTCTCACGGATCTCCAGGTGACTCTGGAGGGTAGCAGCATCTCCAACGGTTCGTGCAACATCATGGAGGTGCCTGAGCTCTGTGATTACCTGCGATTCTTCAAGCCTAAGAGATTTACACTGAAGGCGTACAAGAGGTATTGGTTTACCTGTCGTGATTTGCAGTTGAGATTGTACAAGAGCAGGGAGGAGAGCAACAGCTCGGAGCTACCGGCACACGTCATTAATTTGAGAGGATGCGAGGTGACACCTGATGTCAACCTGGCGCAGGGAAGGTATGGGATCAGGCTGGAGGTACCAAGTGCTGATGGCATGACGGAGATGTGGATCAGATGTGAAACTGTGAGTTTTTGTTTTAATTTTATTTTTTTTGTTTTGTTTTATCTCTGGCTTTTATTTCCGTTTATTTATATTTTTATTATATAATTGGTCATTTATTAATGGGTTTCAGGAACAACAGTACGCAAAATGGATGGCAGCCTGTCGTCTGGCAGCCAAAGGCCGCTCCTTGGCTGATTCCTCGTACGAGAGTGAAGTCAACAGCATCACAGCTTTCCTCCAGCTCCAGCGACCAGCTCCAGCACCAGCCATAAGTCCCAACTCTTTGGACATCATCCCCGAGGACTACGTGGCTCCCAGATTCGCCAAGAAACTCAAGGGTAAAATTGTCCAGAGAATTCTCGAGGCTCATGCCAATGTCAAGGATCTTCCTCTCGTCGAGGCGAAATTAAATTACATCAAGGCCTGGCAGTCACTGCCTGAATACGGTATCTCATTGTTTATTGTCAGATTCTCACCCAAAGCTAAGGATGAACTCCTGGGAATTGCCAACAACAGATTGATGAGGATGGATCTGCACAGTGGTGATCATCTCAAGACGTGGAGATACAACACGATGAAGGCGTGGAATGTCAACTGGGAGGTGAAGCACATGATGGTGCAGTTCGAGGAGGAGAACATCATCTTCGAGACGCAATCCGCTGACTGCAAGGTCGTTCACGAGTTCATTGGCGGGTACATCTTTCTCTCGATGAGGTCTAAGGAGGCTAATCAGACTCTCAATGAGGAGATGTTCCACAAACTCACTGGGGGATGGGTTTAACTCCGTCGCGTGTGAGGATTTTTTTTTTTTCTTCGTTTTTGTACATAAAAATCGAACCTCGTGGATCTTATAAATATTTATCCACGGATTATTTATGTAAAGTGCCTAATACTTGAGTCGATGGTACCCTAGTGCCTGCAATTTATTATACTAGATGATTTTATTGGGTTTATTAATCGAGAAATTATCTCTTGGGATAATTTCATTTTAATACTTTACTGAGAATTTATTCTTCTTTTTTTTTTTAGATATTTTAACTCAATGAATTCATATAAAGTCTCGAGTTTTGCTTTGTCCTGTTGGAATTACTGCTGCAGGATCTGATGAGATATTTTTTATCTCAAGAGGTGCTACCTGCAGCAGTTAGCCAATATTTTATCCACATAAAATGTAAATTATTGTTTAATGTAGAATCAATTTTAGAATTGCACTATCACCTGTTATTCATTATTCATCGGTTTTATGCTTATACTTATTTGTATGTACATTTAACCAAAAATTATACATGAAAATTATAGTTTTGTATATTAAATAGATAATAGATGTATAATAAATATAATTAATATTAAATGACTTGCATTTTTATTACTCCCAGAACCTTTTAGTTGTATAAATAAATTATTAAATAACTTGGTATTTATTTAAACAAATGCTGATGGAGGATTTTAACATCAAAATGGCAGAGAAAATAGCTGACGAAATGGTGGAAGACATCGTGCCACCTCCTGTACCTGTGCTCCTGATCCATGATCTCGATTTTCTGAAATTTTTGAATATGCTAAGTCTGAAAACATCGTGCCACTTCTTCGGGTATTCTGTGCTCCTGATACAAAACTCGAATTTCACGGCAAAATTTTAGTTTTCTGGAGAGATGTCGTGCCACCTCTTCGGCTATTCTATACTCCTGATAGAAATCGCGGATTTTTGAGTCAAATTTTAACGAAAATATCCCCTATCTTTACTGGATTTGTATCAGGAGCACATGAGTAGCGAAGAGGTAGTCGTCAAAAATTCAAATTTTAGCAAAATTTTCTATTTTTCTCAATTTGTATCAGGAGCACATGAATAGCGAGGAAGTGGCACGAGATTCAAAAATCGTAATTTTACCAATATTTTTAAATTTTTGCCAATTTTTAACAGGATAACAGGAGCATCGAGGAGTTATTCTATTTATTAAATAACTTAATGGATAATTAAATAAACAAATATGTAATTTTCATGGATTTTTTATTTAATTTTGGTACATACAATGGGATATGATAATTTATTTAACATTCAGACATTGCTTTCTCTTTTCTGTGAGCCCTCGCTGTGTCCCACGTCCCTGGAAGACCTGGAATGATTCTCCTGGAGTTTCTCGCCATTCTTGAAGAGCCTCATCCCCATGACCTGCGACTGTCCAGTGTGAATTCCCTTGGCTCCACTCCCGGATTTATCCCTCTTCCCTCTCACCCACTCGTGCGATAAAACTTTATCCAGGGTGAACCTCTGGGTGATATCCGGCTCCAGGATGTGACGTACAACACTTTTAGCTGTTTGTGAGACAGTTTCTTGGGTCCTGGATCCAAACACCCAGTTCCTGGACATCTGGTCGCGCAGTAACTTCGTCAGGTTGTCGTCGTTGAAGGGCATCGTCCCGTTGAGCATTATGTAGAGGATTATCCCGAGGGACCAGACGTCTGCGAGCTTCGGGTTGTAGGGGGTTCCGGAGACGACTTCTGGTGCTGCATAAGCTGCTGAACCGCAGTACGTGTGGCTCAGGATCCTTCGGTTATCGGAGTCCACGCAGAACCTGGCGAATCCAAAGTCCGCGAGTTTCACGTGGAACTTCCTGGAGAGGAGAATATTCTCACACTTCAGGTCACGATGTGCGATGTTCTTGGAGTGGAGGTAGTGCAGGCCCGAGGCCATCTGTCGAAACCACGCCTGGGACTGGGGCTCGGGGACTTGTTTGTGACGGAGAACGTAGTCCAGGAGGTCACCGTTGTCTGCACACCGCATGAAGATGAAGACACGAGGGCCTCGTTGCAGGATGCTGTGGACCTGGGGATTCGAGTTGAGTTCGTGTCGAGTTGTTTCACTCACCGAGAAAAATAAATAAATTAGTACATTGAAATGTTTAAAATTACTTGTATGATGTGAGGATTTTCTATTTTTGTCAGAATCTCCAGTTCCCGGGGGAAAAATTTCTCCAGGAAATCACTCGGCGCTTTTTCACGGTCGAATATTTTACACGCCAAGCGCATTTTCTTTGTACCACTACCCGCAACATATTCGGCGAGGTGTACCGTTGCGTACGATCCCTAAATATTTTTTTATCAATTTTAATAATTATGAGAAATTGTGTGTAAAAATCTGGAATTTCCTGCCAGAGAAAATGAAAGATAGAAAAAAATATTTATATTGATTATTTTTTAATGAGTGATTAAGGGGAAATTTAATTAACCTGTCCAATCTTCTTGCCAATGAGATAGCCTCGCTCCTCAAGAGCGCTTATCTCCGAGTTTCTTGGGCTCAGGGAGCTCAGTCTCGCGGCCATACCAAAATCTCCTCATTGATTCATCTGATTATTTTCACTCCAATTTTCAAACACAATTTAATCAACTGGAATTTTGAATTAATACTTAATTAATAATTAATTATTAAAATCCGGGGTGTCATGCGTCAGTCATAACTTTTTAAAAAGCGTAAAACAATCGAAAGCTGAAACTCATTTCGAACTATCTAATCTACATTTTCCCCCTATCAATTACCTAAATTAAAATAAAAGTCTAATTTCCGAGTTTTAATCGACAAAAATTAATTTTCAAATTGATAATTTGAGACTTGAATTGATTATTTAATTATTTGATTTAATTAATTTAATTAATTTGATTAATTTAATTAATTAAATTAATTATTTAAGTAATTATTCGTAACTGGTGTTGCTCGATGTAAAAAAATCAGAGCTAATAAATGAACTATTGAAATGTGGGTTTATAGATTTTTTATTATTAAACCGATTTATACAGGGATATTATTACGCAGCAGGATCATCGCCCTTGGTGGTACGAGTGTAGATGAGCTGGGCATGATGCTGAACTACCTGCTTGATCAATCCCTTCTGTTGGAGTTCAATGAGAGCTCGCCTAGCTAGTGAACCTCGAATTTTCAGCCTCTCACTCACTATCGAGGGGGTAATGAGTTTGTACTGAGGTACTTCTTTAAGAAGTTTGTCGTACGTGCCCTTATCAAAGAGCACCTGATTGTTCAACTTGTCACGGACTTTTCCCTTCGACCACTTCTGCAATTGTTTAATAAAAAAAAATATTGACAACTCCTACCGTACTCTAATCTCTAGTTCGCCCCCAATTTTTATCTAATTAACTTCGTCAGTCTCATTAAATCAGATTTTTGCTTCCACAGAGTGTCAAGCAAAGGGTGTGTACATCATTCGAAGTCAATTATGATATTTTAAAAAAATTGATGCTCCAAAAGTTCAGGAGAATCTCGTATTAATTAATGGGAGAGAACTTGTGAGAGATTTTATTTGATTTTTTATACTGTCATGCAATAAATTTAGTAAAAACGTACCTTCTTCTTGGCTTTACCTCCAGATCCTCCCTCCTTCTTCTTCTGGGTTTTCTGGGGCTGCTTGGAAGACCCCTTCGTGTCCTTCTTGGGCGGCTGAAAAAGCAATTCACAAATTAGAAATGAGAGGTTAGATTGCCATCCACGAGTAAACACTCCCCAGAACCTCAAAAACCCCAAAATAAAAGAAAAAAAAACACAAAGATAACCTAGAGAATAATTCCACCCTCCACTGTACAATCTAATTAATTAATTAATCAACTCCCGAACAATGGAAAAAGCCATGTGGTCACATGTCGACAACTCCAAAAATCGTTCAAAACCCAAAATTCACTGGTCACAATCACAAATAACTCAAAGCAATCCGAAATTCCCGGGAATTCTCTCGGTTTATTATCCACAAAAAGCCAATAAAAAGCCTTTAATTAATAAAATATTACTTGAAACACTCGCCTCGTACTTACCATGATGGCTGACGACTCGGAAAGAGCACAATTGACACCGGAAGCTCTCGATCCACCATTTTGTCACTGCGTGAGTCAACACCATCACTATCACCATCACAACACCATGTCACTTCACTGATTTGAAATAACTCCGAATAAATGAATTGAACACTAAAATGATCCCGTATTAAAAATTAAAAAATCAATTTACTGGTCCTCAATTCTTTTTCGTTC